CTGATGGGAGCAGGCGGTAATAAGTTACATAACTTGTGCCCAATCCCTTTCAACATTGAATAAAATATGTTCAAACAAACCAAAAGACGTCAGAAGATGGTACTTGTTACCAAGTCTGGCTCTCGGCATGAAGGGGATACAACAAGAGCTGGTTGACACGGAGGGCGTCAGCTGTGTCCGATTCGGTCATCCATGTTAGAAAGCGACCTGCTATCTCAGTGGACACTATAATGCCGACGTATGTCCGCACTTGAAAGCGCACACGTAAACATCGGGGTTAAAAGTGTCTTCACCAAACCGTTCATGTCGTGAAGGGAGACAAAGGGGATTGGGTGGTCAGGCCCGCTGATTTGGTTAATGCATGTCGAGTTGTATAGATCGATGCTCATGATGCCAGTCACTTGACTGCCTTTGTCCAAACTCGATTATTTATAGCTGGACTATTGAGTGTTGAGTTAAACTACACAATCCACGCACTGTATACATAAGTTCAACAATCTTGAACGCGACCTGAAACACAATTTCACCTGACCTATGTAGTTATGGCACTTAACTAACACTCATGAACCACTTGTCGTGAGTTCGAATCCATTTTCGTGGGGTGGTCAGCTTTATCTTTCACTGAACCTAGACATCAATATCCAATGTCTATATGATCTGTGTCTGGGTCTTTTCTTCTACACTACCCGTAAAGATCCGAGCTAGAACTGATCTTCGGCAACCCATGCTTGCATTAAGAGGCGACTAACGGCATCGGGTGGTCAGGCTCGCTGACATGGTTGACACATGTTATCGTATCCCAGATAAATGCTCATGCTGTTGATCACTGGATTGTCTGGTCCAGATTCGATTATTTACAGGCTGCCACCATATTGCTGGAATATTGCCACGTGCGGCGAGTCACTCACTCACTCACTCCAACACCAAACTGAAATATCGTGTTATAACTGACATACTGTTCTAAGCAGCTTTCAACCGAAAACATCTTACATGTTGCATACGATATTCATTTCTGACATGCATCCTTATGTGCGATTAAAGTACAGAAATAATCGAAATGAAGTCCCTGCTGTTGATCGGGCAACGCCGCGGGAAATAAAATTGATATTTGGTTCCACTTAGTACAAAATCCCGAACAATTGTATTGTTATGTAGTAAACTGTCAGCACAGATACAGCTAATCAAGTGCAGCGTATATTTGTTCAGCATGAAAACCTTTTATCGTCTGATTGTCAAGGTCTTCAGAAACAGTCATAAATGCTTAGTTTACAAATAATGACAATATGACACTAATATTTATGAACAGACAATAACCAGGTGATCAATTTGAAAAAACCCCAAACCAACAAGTATTTCTCGGTATTCTGCATATACCATCTTATATTTTGCATAGACTGTATGGCGCTCCTGACTGGAGATCGGAAACTCCGGGCTCCGCGTCCCTTTTCACATCACATTGCCAAACAGTGCGCGTGTACACTGTACTTCCGTTATGTCTCCGCGTTTCTGTGGGAGAAGGTCCGATGTGATGGAAGGCCTTGGTCGTTCTTTTGCATTTGCATGGTGTTGAGAATCAAAGATAATTAACAGGGAGAATCTGCAGGGTACGATCCATACAGCGTTTGTAGCGCAATGACACTTAGTGTCGTAACGTTACGAACGCTTTGTGGCTACATTTAAGACTCGATATGTTTCATGTGTTGATATTGTGGCTATACATGCTGCTTAAAAACGCGGTCATCAGTTTCATTTAATAGCTTCAGACGAATTAAACACAGCTGTAAAAGGATCGTTCGAATGTTTATGGGTTTTTTAAATTCCGTAAATCTATTTGCTAGGTGTCCTGTTCCCTTGGTACCGACTCTCCTTATATACAATGTAGTTCAGTTTGGCTTTAATTGCTTGGTACATATCTGGTTGTTCCACTAATTGCATGTGTTCAGTTCATATTAAACGTTGTCTCACACTTCAGCGTTTGTTGATTTATCAATAACAGGTTAATGAGGAGTATCATTCATTGTTGACCCATTCTTTGCGATTCATCACTACTCCATTCACTCACTATCCAACAAAATAGTGCAATTTGGTAATATTTTATGAGCGCTTCACTGGTTTAAATTTCACCAACATCAACACCTTTAAACAGCCATACGGTTTTTATCAGTGTGCAGGTATAATCTGAGCAGATGATTTGGATTAAGTTTTCATTAAGTAAAGTAAATATTTTACTTAACCAAAAATTGAAACAAATTCAAAGCTGGACTATAAGAACTTATTTTCAGTAATCAGTTTCTAAAATCACAAATGTTACTGTAAATGAGTGAGTGTTGATTAATTTTCTTTGCGCAATGACATCTATCATAAAACTGTAAACTACCAGTGAAGATCTGGGTTAGAATTGGTCTTCAGCAACCCATGCTTGCAGTAAGAGGTGGATTGGGTGGCCAGACTCGTTGACTTGGTTGACACACTTATACCAACTGCGTAAATTGATGCTCATGCTGTTGATCACTGGATTGCCTGGTCCAGACTCGATTATGTACAGACCGCCGCCATATAGCTGAGAATATTGCCAAGTGCGGTGTTAAACAACAAACCAACCAACTGAAACTGGAAATAGCTTGTCAACAAATCTGTATCATAAAAATGCAGATTTAGCTTTGCTATTACATTATCTGGTTATGAAAATGTGTCCATTGTATATCTGATATCATACTTGTAGTGATGAGTCTGCAGTATCATCTAATTTATTAATGTTATTCAGAAGTCCATTCAGTAATTCATAGGATAAAATATATGCATTTGACATTCTTTCATTTGCATAAACATTCAAGTGAGGTATTGTATTCCTCATACCATCAGGAGTTTGAGTGCTGTTATTGTCACATAATGTGCAGTCCATGCCTGAGTCAATATGGTTTAAACAGTTTGAACCCGTGAAGATCCGGGTTAGAATTGATCTTCAGTAACCCATGCTTGTTGTAAGAGGCGACTAACTGGATTGGGTGTTCCGCCTCGCTGACTTTGTTGACATATGTCATTGTATCCCAATTGCATAGATCGATGCTCAGGCTTTAGATCACTGGATTGTCTGGTCCAGACTCGATTATTTTTAATCCACCGCCATATAGTGATGGCCCACAGGATGGAAACCATTATGAAATGATTCAGTGTGATTGCCACTCCAAGAATGAGTCTTGGTTTTACACATGAACTGAATATGATGAACAAGTTTGTTTTCAAATTGCTAAATATATTTGACAACCAGTGTTCTTTTGGTAGTATGACACATTACACACAACAGTAACTGGTGATGGACTTGCATCGGTCAAACAAGCCAGTTAGGGATGTCTACCTTCAACAGAAGCTAGTCCTGGCCTTGTATCGGTCAAACAAGCCAGTTAGGAATGTCTACCTTCAACAGAAGCTAGTCCTGGCCTTGTATCGGTCAAACAAGCCAGTTAGGAATGTCTACCCACAACAGAAGCTAGTCCTGGCCTTTTATCGGTCAAACAAGCCAGTTAGGGATGTCTACCCACAACAGAAGCTAGTCCTGGCCTTGTATCGGTCAAACAAGCCAGTTAGGGATGTCTACCCACAACAGAAGCTAGTTCTGGCCTTGTATCGGTCAAACAAGCCAGTTAGGGATGTCTACCCACAACAGAAGCTAGTTCTGGACCTTGTATCGGTCAAACAAGCCAGTTAGGGATGTCTACCCACAACAGAAGCTAGTTGTGGCCTTGTATCGGTCAAACAAGTTAAGAAAGTCTACTTGATATGTGTGTTTCATGTGTCAATATAGTGTCTGTACATGCTGCTTAAAATCGTGATCATTATAGTCATCATGTTCAGGTAATGTGTTCACATGGCAGCATGACACTGACAGAAGCTGGTCATGGCCTTGCATCAGTTAAACAACCCAGTAAGGAATGCAGTATTCCCACACATATCAGTAAACAGCCATAGTCAAAAGTTGGTCTGTCAAACTGGCAGGAAATGACATGATGGTCACATACAACTATGGCTCACCAAGACTTTGTACCGCCAATCCAAGAACTAAACAATCCTATTACTAGGGAACAATGGCCTTGTTTTGCAACTCATCATTATCTATTTGACTGACTGACTGACTGAGTTTGGTTTTACGCCGCTTTTAGCAATATTCCAGCAATATCACGGCGGGGGACACCAGAAATGGGCTTCACTCATTGTACCCATGTGGGGATTCGAACCCGGGTCTTCGGCGTGACGAGCCAACGCTTCAACCACTAGACTACCCCACCACCGCCCCTCATTATCTATTTAACAGGATATTACGGATCGATGGTGAATCTCTCCATGTAAGACCTTCTGAATAAAGACACAAGACAATGTTTCATTGAATCAGTGATTTATGATTTATATACAAAATATTTTTACAAACTGTCACAAGAAATGAAGAAAATCTTGGGATGAGACTTGAAACAGTTGAAAGTGGCATAAACAAAATGACATTTTCTCTACAATTTGTTTTCTAACAGATACATGAAACTTCAGGTCACTGCAGCTCACAGGGGAATCCATATAATATATCTCATACATTAAATATCAAAAATATCATTTGAGTACACCCCACATAGATTTTATGTATCAAGCATTTGAAATGTAAACATCATGAACAAATGTTTACGCAGGAAGGCTGTGCAGACAAGATGTAAAAACCAACAATTATGCATTTTGAGATTGGTTTGAAGTTAACCCACAGCTCTCATTTTTTATGACAAATATTTTCATTGTCGTCAACTTCATAGCACTTTCAGATCATGAAAACAAATCTGTTGAGGAAAACATTTCATAATAACTATAATCTTTGACACGGGGCATCTTTTGGGTAAATGACAGAATGCATGAGAGACCGTGGTATCTTAACCCCAGTTATTTGGCCCGAGTGAGCTAGCAGCACATTTATGTTGATGCAGGAATAAAAAACTACAGACTTTACAGCTCCATTCCAATTAACATGGTCCAACCCTACCAGACACACAAAGGAAACAGCAACACTGCTGGTTGGGTAAAGCTAAGAACAGTTCCCAGGGAACTGACCGATTGAAATAGTGTACTAGTGTGTGAATGTGTTGAATCAAAAAATAAAACCGGCACGGAGTGTTTTGTGTTTGGATGTGGAATAGTCATGTCAGACTGCGTACTTGTTGGTCCATTGCTTCGCTGTCTCAACATACTTGCATCTGTCATTTTTATATATTCTGGCGATCTCAGGTACAAGTGGATCATCTGGGTTGGGGTCTGTCAGCAGTGAGCAAATGGAAAGCAGGACTGAAAACAAACAACAAAAACATCAAACTTTGACATTTAGGTTAAAAGGTAGGCTGACTCATGTAATCTGACACAGTGGAAATATTGGATTACCCATGTTTATGTTTGACACGATTCACTCAGTCTGTAATCTAGTCTAGTAAGTCAGGAAACAATTAAGAGTTAACTCTCTGAATGTATCAAGCAAGAAAAGCTAACTTAGATTTGTACTTGTTAAGCTTCAAATGAGTGTTTATTGAAGGCAGATGATATAATGCCTTATTTAGTCTTCAATTAAACATAAATGCATCTGAAAACCTTTATACATATACAACTAAGTTTTTAAGTAATTACTCCTTTTGGTAGAAACACGGTTTTAAAATCCTTAATTATCCCAAAGCTACAACACCTCTTCAGCTCATTACCAAATCCAAATATTGATGCTATTAACGACTTCATCTTATCATCTTATGCATACTTGCCTTACTCTTCGAAAACAGACTGTGGAAGTCGAGATCGAAAGCTAGCTAACCTATTACTCGCGAAGGTGGTTCGATTGAAGACATCCAAAGTGACCGGACAGGTCCCGGCAGTCGATCACATGGCCATGTGGAAAAGTCATTCCTTTTGTATAGAACGAAGGTAGATGATGATAGCGGGGAGGTAGAGACATCTCGGGAGGGCTACAGACTTGATGATAAGAGGTAAGTATGTAAATATCTAAAATACTTAGATTTTACCAAATTTTTTAACTTACTCCTTATCAACTTATGCATCTTATCTGACAAACTGGAAGGAGGGCCGCTCTAACCACTGTTCGCCCAACTTGACCAGTAGATTAGACGCATGGAATAGTGAATGCTTGGGGGTCTGCAAGCAAAACAAGGACCAATAAAGTGACACGAACAAAGGAAACAATAGGTAAGGTGTGATCACGATTGTCCTCATATGTAGTTCACAACCCACCCAAGGGAGGGAACAACATCTCTTACCTTAGTGTGGCGAAGGCAGAGTTAGTAGCACCGGAGGCGGAAATGTATATCAGTCAATATTTTCCCAAAACAGTGAAAGGGCATCTACTGCCCAAGTGGCTGGATCCGGGACTGGAGATACATAGACCGGAAGTTGATTGTTCTGGTTCATGGTGAACAGGTCTAACATTTGCCTGTACTGGGACTGGCAAAGGAGAACGAAAGCAAACGGATGAAGCATGGTTTGCCGGCTCTTGAGAGAGTGTCCGCCAGAACTTTCTTGTAACCGGGAATGTTACGTGCTTGTACTGCCATCTGAGCCCGATCCAGGATCGAATGCCTGTTCAAGAAGGCGTTGAGAGCCAAACGTCCCTTGATTGAGTATTAACCAAATCACTATCGCATTGTCAGAGGCAATGAGGAGGCTGGATCCTAAGAGGTGATTCTTCCAATGAGTCACCGAGAGGATCACTGCTTCTAGGCTGTTCATATGCCAATCTTGTTGTTCTTCTGACCACAGCCCCAGTACTGTGTGGGTGCTCAGATGTGCCCCCCAGCCCTGCATTGAGGCGTCACTCAGAGACTCCTTCGCAAACTTTCAACCGTTGAGTCCACCAGCGTAGGTACTGAAGTAACGGCAGGGGAATTCTGGTCCTGAGATCATCTGCTTTGATGAACGGTTTCAGAAACCTTTGGATAGGTCGGAGCATGAGCCTTCCCCTGACAGTGAGGTCTTGTGCCAATGTCAACAGTCCTAACATGGACTGCCAATCTCTCTATTTGGGGCCTGGGACAGACCCCTGTGGATGCAAGCCAATATCTTCACCCATCTGGGGGCAAGAGAGATTCTGAGCCTGTCCTGGTTGGTGAGGAAGGGTACTCCTATGAAAGTTAATATCTGAGAAGGCTCCAGGCACGACTTCTCCCAATTTATCAACCACCCCAGTTGAAGGAACAATTGGAGAGTGTAGTCCTTCTGTCTGACAAGCTTTTGACGATCCCTGTGATACATGAGGCAGTGGTCGATATATCCCACGCAGAAGGAAATGAATTATCGGAGAGGTGATGCACGTGAACAGCCACGGTGCCAAAACAATTCCAAATGGGAGCACTCGCCATTGGAAAGGCTGGCCATTGAAGCAGAAACGGAGGTACTTCCTGTGTGGCTCGAAAATCGGGACGTGCAGGCATGCATCGTGTATATCTAGCTTGACAAGCCTATCTCCTGGTGAGATTTTAGGGCGAAGCTGGTCCAATGAAATCATTCGAAAATGAGGAGGCTCCATAAGGTATAGATCACTGAACACAGCCATATTGTGGATCATCCTCATTTTGTCAGAGTTTTTCTTGGGGATCAGGAAAATAGGCGAGTAAAACCCTGGGGTGTTGTTGGGTTCTGCACAAGTTCTATTGCCCTCTCGTCTAACAAACCATTGATGTCAGATATTTCCTGTGGTTGGGCATGGGAATACACGCTTGACTGGGGCAGGTTAGTCAGATGCAGCTTTCTTCTTAAAGGGAGCTGGTACCCTTGCTTCAGGATGTTGACAACAAAGAGTGTCTTCCAGGAATGTCCAGTTCGGCCAGAAGACTCCAGTCTCCCGCCTACAGGATGAACAGCACTTATACTGTGGCTCAATGTTGGCTGGAGGCTTGTTCCTCTTGCCAGAGTCACCAACATTGGGTCTTCCCCTGACCAGCCAGGATCTGCCTGTTCGACAGACAGAGTTTTGTTTGCTGACGTAGGAATTGGCCTTATGTGCTTGATTCGATTTGCAGATGGCTCGAAATGATTTGAGCGCTATCTCTGTCGTTGTGAATGATGAACATTCCTTGTAAATTCCCCTGATGGCGTCATTGAACAATCTTGCTGAGAATGGTTGGTGAAACAATTTCCTCGCCAACTCCGGTTCCCAAGCGCAAGCAGAGAGGAATCAAGACCGTCACACCACCGTGGTATTGGCCAGTGCTACTCTCACATGACCAACAATGTCACCAAGAACACGAGACTGCTATCTCATTATAGACATCAAATGGTCGATCCTGGAGCATTATCCTCCTCCAAATCCTTACGGATAGCTTCTGTAGCTGAGGCCATGGCTGACAAGGGACGTAACATTCTCTTCAACTCTGTGTCTATTGAAGCTAATTTGGAGTCAGGAACCCGGTATGAGGACACTGGAGTAGAGGAGAGACGCTCCAATTCCTCCTCGTGAACTGGAGCCGGGTCAGAAAAATCCAAGGAATGGATGGGATAATCCCCTTTGTGCGCTCTTGCTGCTCTTAAGCTGTGATTCAGGGACAACTTGGCAAACTACTAATCAAGAGAATTGACAAAGTCACGGATGATCTGGTGTGGTGGCAGACGAAGTTCTGGTGAATCCCAGATGGTGAGTTCCTTGTCCACCCCAGGCCTGGAAAAGGGCAAGAGTCCTGTAATCTGTCTGCCATCCAATCACAGACAGCCTCCAAACCTAAGTGAGTCTCAGTTTGAGATTGGTTCGGCTCTAGATCGTCCATATTCTCCTTATAATCTGGACGGAAATCTTTTTCTGAACAGGTTGGGCCAATAGGTGAGCTACTTCCGTTGGAGCATCTGGAACTCTTGTCATCCCATTTAGACGACCTTGAAGAGCGACCTGAGGAAGTTGAAGGGGGTGGAAGGGCCTGGAGGTCTCATCTGTGTGTGTTGATGGGGCTGGTTAAACATAGAGTGCATGAAATTATGCATGACATACGGGTTGAATCCCTGAACTGGAGGTGCGCCATAGTTTTGCGGCACACCAAAAGTTTTGGATATGGGTTGGTAACCCCCCCATTTGTTGAGGCACACCTATCTGATAAAATCCCATCTGGTAAGGTAAGGAACTCCCCTACTGAGAATTTATCTGTTGAGGTATGCCTACCCCAGGTTGTAGGCCGTACTGTTGCTGTGAGCCAGTATTAAGAGGTGTGCTCAACTGCTGGAAAGTGCCTGCACCTAAAAGTGTGCCATTGCCGGTAGGTACGCCACCGTTGAGAAGTGTGCCTTGTCCAAGAGGTACATTTTGTCCAATAAGTGTGCCCTGTCCAATAAGTGCGCCCTGTCCAATAGGTGCGATGTTGATAGGATTCATAATCGTCTGGTTAACGTTCCCCTGAGGTAAGACTGACCATACTTCGGCAGACACACATAGTGTTGTGTCCAACGGTGGTGAACCCAAAGGCTCACTAGTAGGTACGCCAGATGATCTAGGGGTAGACGAGAGAGGAGGGCGCTCCTCAATATCATTCTCAGGTTGATGACTAGAAGACATCCTCCTACGTAGCTTCTGTTGTGTAAGCCTCTTCTTTGCTGCCAGTAGGTAAGCTTTGAAGAAGTTGAAGCATAATAGATCACACTCCTAACACCTGGAGTCCCAAGTGCACTGAGAAGTGCAATTTAAACACAGAGAGTGAAGGTCCTTGTTTGACTTTAGACCTCACACAATGAGGTCATGACATAAACTGTACTAAAATAAAAGCAAAAAATTTATTAGTAATAAACGACGGGAAACCATGAACAATGAGGGATATCAGAAACAACCACACTGCTACAACGCCCCCGCCTATCTACAAACTGGTGTGATAAACCGGTTAACCGGCTCCCTCCCAACGACAGGAGGGATAACAGAGGGATATACGAGGACAATGAAAGTCCAGCCTACCCTAGTACGAACCAAAAACTAAGAAACTCAACTCGAGAAGCGAGAGAGCAGGTAAAACAAATGAGTAAAAAAGAAGAACGAGAAAACTCAACCCTGGTGAGAAATCCTCATTCAATAGTTTAGCAAACTTAAAACATACCAGGTAGTAAACAATTATTGACCACAAGGGAACAAATGCAATATAAGGCAATGACAACTACAAAAGTACAGAGATCTCAATCCGCGTCTGAATTGTGAAATGAATAATAAAGGGATGACTTTTCCATGTGGACACGTGATCGACCGCCGTGACCTTACCGGTCACTCCGGATGTCTTCAATTGAATCACCTTCGCGAGTATAGGTTAGCAAGCTTGCGATCTCGTAACTGCAGGTTAAAGTATAGGAGATACGATAGGAGTAGCGCTGTGATTGCTTTGTGAAACACAGCCCTGAGCAATAGACATAGCTTTCTTAGTGCATAGGTGGTCATAAATATCATGGAGTCCAACACTGACTGATTATTTCCATACAGAGAATGTGACGACATTCTCAAGATCTCATAGCCACACACAAAAATGTCTCCAACTGTAATTCTAAAGCATATGGCAGGGTTTTACGCAACGCAGAAATGTGTGTCCAATATGAGCAAATGTATAGATTGGACGCAGAAAAAAACATATACTGTGTCCCTTGGACGAACAATAATATTTACTGTTCAACATGCATGACAAGAAACAAAGTTTTTGTAATAACAGTAATCATTAATCCTCACAGTACAGTCTGCTACATCATGTCATTACTTTACAGGACTCTCATATTTCACGTAACTACTAGTGGTGGTCCGATTAATTGAAACAATCGAAGATTGGTCGCAATGACTAAATGACCAAGCAATCGATCATGTTTTCTCATAATCGAACACAAACGATTTTGGCACACATTAACAACATTTTTCACAAGGTTGGTTTTGTCTGATACATTTCATAAGTACTACAAGCTCGTTCCTTGACATGATAGAATTTATCTTAAACATTCCAGGAAATTTATGTTCCTAACATACTAGTTATCCTTTTAGATGTGAAATTTGTAAATGCATTTTGTGCAATTTGCAAAAAAACGAAAGAACTACATGTTTTTTTCTATATTTTTTGTGCATTAACCAGGAGAATTTGATAAATTGTGCTAACCAATTTTTTGCGATGATTGACTGGTTGTAATGAACCAATCGTCAATTGTGAGATTTTAACCAATTCCCAACCCTAGTAAGTACCCTTGAAATAAGCAAGTGGGGGTCCTATGGACCCCTAAATTTATTGGTCAAGGTAAAACCCTATTATGGGATCAAATGAGATAAGCTTTGCTGTACAACCCTTGACCTTTGATCTACTTGTGTACCAGCCTAGCCTGCAGATATTATCCTGTAGACCTCTGTGTTGACATTTAACTCAGATTATCATTACACATAACAACATTCATCCACCTAAGTGGCTTGCAACTCCATTGTTCAACTCCATTGTTCAACTCCATTGTTCAACTCCATTGTTCAACTTCATTGTCAGCGGGCCAGCCTATATGGGCATCAGTGTCACAACATTTGATATGATGTCATTTGCTTGTGACACTGCAAATGAACTTCACATTTGAGGTACCACAAAGAACTTGCTGGTATATAAGGCAGATCTGATCTCACAAACATGTTTCCCCCAAAAATAATATATCTCCAACAAGTAGCTTTTTCTTATAGGTGTCATTTGTGTGGTGTATGGAGTTTTGCCACCAGTGTGGTGAGTGGGTTCTTCTCACTAGCATCGTGAGTGGGTTCTTAGTGTGGTCGTTGAGCATTTAGTCTTTGGGGTTTTGTCACTAGCATTTTCTATGGGTTGTTTTCACTAGTGTTTTCTATGGGGTTTTGTCACTAGCACAGTCTGTGAGTTTTTTTGTCTATGAGTTTTAGTCAGTAGCGTTGTCTATCGGTTTTTGTCACTAATGTGGTGTGTGATTTTTTTGTTGGTAGGGTGGTCTATAGGAGTTTGTCACTACTGTGGTGTGTGGGTTTTTGTCACTCGTGTGGTCTATGGGGTTTTGTCACTAATGTGGTGTGTGGGTTTAAGTCACTCGTGAGGTTTATGGGTTTTTGTCACTAGCATAGTCTGTAGGGTTTTGTCACTAGTATGGTGTGTTGGTTTTTTGTCACTAGCGTTGTCTATAGGGTTTTGTCACTGACTGACTGACTGAGTTTGGTTTTATGCCGCTTTTAGCAATATTCCAGCAACATCACGGCTGGGGACACCAGAAATGGGCTTCACACATTGTGCCCATGTGGGAATTCGAGGTTTTGTCACTAGTGTGGTGTATCTGTTTTTGTCACTAGCATGGTCTATGGGTTTTGCCACTAGCGTGGCCTTGTGTTTTTGTCACTAGAGTGGTCTTAGAGGCTTTGTCACTAGCATGGTATACGTTTTTTGTCACTGTCTTTGTGTATGGTTTGTGTCACTAATGTTGTCTATAGCTTTTGTGACTGGCGTCGTGTATGGGGTTTTGTCACTAGTGTGCTATGTGGGCCCATATGAGCTGAACATTCCATGCAACCCTCAACCATTGATTTCCAAGTGTACTAACCCACTCAGCTTGAAATCTTTCACACTCCTCCTAACATATGTATCAAACTCATCACGACGTGTTCACGAGCACCAGTTTCGGTAAAATATGTTCATGTATTATACAGGCTATTGCAAAACTGTCTCAGTTCTAATTTTCTGTCCACTTACCTTTGGAGATTGTGAGAGCTGGTGACCATTGTGTTCTCAGAATGTCCAGGCAGATGCTGCCATTGCTGTTGATGTTTGGGTGGTAGATTCGCGTAGTGAACGCAACCTACAAAACCGTTCAAAGAAATTACAGCAAGCATCCAGTAGTTGGAAGAGCTTGTAAAAAAACCCATCTAAACAATGACTTTCAAAATTGACAAACACTATCACAGTTACATTGCATTAAAGTGTGTTTACTTAGGATCAAAACTGCATGTTATTTGATAAAGTAAAGGTTTACTCATTTTAAAAGCAAAGGTTTATTCGATGTGCATGTTTATGTAGCATGCCAGGGGCACAGATGAAGATGTTTAAATTGAAGCAATTCCCCGTTTCATTACTACAGACCAGAATCTTAGATTCACCTTGATTATGTAGCTCAGGTTTGCCAGCACAATGTCATATTATCAGTATCACATTTAACTTTTCTCTCAAATTTAGATGGCATGTGATATGACTGACTTTGTACAGAATGGCACTGTTTACCTTTGGAGGTTTGAAGGGGTAATCTGTTGGAAAATGTATAGTCAGGAAAAAAACACCGTTCTGATAAGGGCTGTCAGGCTGCAAACACACAAAAGACAAATGACATTCTGGTACAAACATTTTATTACAAACATATTCCACAATCAGTAAAGTATTCCAAAGGTTGAAATAGTACACCTTCTTCCTTCTTACAAATGAAACATACGTTATATTTGGGATTACACTTTCTTACTAAAGTAGATTCTAGTTCTTTTGTTGTGTTTACTAAGAAAGTGTAATCCTAAATATGATGTATGTTACACGTGACCACTTTCTAAATGGCATTGTGTAATCAGAGCTTTCGGATGTGGGAGCCATGCCAATTTACACTTATCAGAGGGTTACACAAAGTCCGCAGTCTAGACTACCAGTTGTCCGATATACATTTTTGTGGAAGTTGCGGTGGCTGAGCGGGTTAGGTGGCTGACTTTGTGTGCTGGCGATTAGGTGCCTGACTCCCAGATGGGACTCAACCCAACAAAAGTACTAGAAACTAAGAAAGTGTAATCCCAAATGGCATAACGTATGTTACATTTAACCACTTTATAAATGACATTGTTTAAATGAAATGAATTTTCTGAATTCCTGAAACATATTTACACATTTTCTGGTTGACATGAGGAAGCATAATGAGAAGTCTTATAATGCGCTAATCTCCACACAACAAAGCATGCCCAAAGTGCTAACACCCTGATTATTATTACCCCGGATAACCCAAGCTGCCTGTTAGGCGCTAGAAGGTTATAGTCACATGACTTTATCCCACCGGGTACCCATTTTCTGCTGGGTGAACAGAGGCAATTTTGAACAAACTCACTTGCCTAAGGTGAGACCACATGTATCACATGTGCTTCGTTGTGGGGCAGGACTGAAGTCCTAGAAACTCTCAGGAGTCAAGCTGTCAAACATGGTCACCCATCCAAGGACTGTCCGAGCTCGCCGTTGCTTAACTTCAACTGATTCATGACCTGCGCTCTGTGCACAGGACCACATGCCATAACATTATAACTAAAACATCCAAGAGACTAATGGATAAAAAGAGGATTACTCACTGGTCCCATTATTGTGGCTTGCCAATGAAATACTGAAAAAGACAGATACATCTAATCAATCTCTGCCAAAAGCTTTGAAGTCTACTTAAAGAAGCATAATTTCAGTGGATGTCATCCATAACATCCACAATAACATCTGGGCCAAATTTCTCGAAACAAACAAAGTTTGTACTCAAACAAACTGAATTAGAAATTCAACTGCATTTTTAAATTAAAACGCAGAAACAGCTTAAGTAAAATATCTACTAAACCTCAATTGTCTACTATGTTTGAGTCAAATCTCAATTTCAGTTTATGTTGGAAAATGCATTTTTCTGCATTTACTCAAATTTGAGTAAAAACGTTAGTTATGTCAAAACTCAGACCTCATCAGGACCTGGACTATTAACTTATCTTGTTTACAGGGCTAAGGTTAAGCTTACACACCTGAAAGAAATGTCACTTGACTTGGATTTAACGTTCAATACTCAATCAAAGTGGAGGAACAGCAGAAATGGGCCTCACACATTGCACCCATGTGGGAATCGAACCCTGGTCTTGATAAGTCAACGCTTTAACCACTAGGATACCCCACTGCCCCGATCCATCAAAGATGGAACATTCTTGCAAAAAATTAAACAAATACTATTGGTCTTTTTTCTTCCAATTTTCTGGTTTGGGGCTCTGGTTTGTCTAACCTGTCAACCAAACATTTCGATCACTTTGCAATAAACATGAAAAATGCTTGTATGCCATCTCGGTAAATAAAGATAATAAATAAGGAAGGAATTTGAATGAACATGAAAACTATAAACAATTTCTGGGATTACTGCAATACGGGGCATATGAGACAATACAATTTACATGCACAATTCATGTATGTATAACCATACATAGAATACATTACTGTAATTATAGTGGTGTAATTTTACTGTAAAACAAATGAATAATAAACTGTCCCGCATCCAGTTGATGCAGATTTTGTAGTATTTTCCCAGTAGAGACATAGTTCACAGTGCCCGGCATGTTTCTGTTTAAAATATCCCTTCTTTGATCTATGGAATATTAAAACTTAATTTAAGGTTGTGATTAACCTACTAAAAGGGATAATATCAACAAGAAAACTGAAACAGGCTTGACAATGTCAGGAAAAGTATGATATTGCAACCGCACTCTATCGCCACAAATCCACAAGGGACGGAAATTAACTGCAATAGATGACCAGCCCTTGCATGATTCTAATTTCAGTCTTGTTTACATAAGAAAGGTAGTGCCAAATGAAACATTTGGCAATTTAACACAGTGAATCAAAAGGAAACATAATTCACAGTGTGTGCGAGAAAATAATTACAGTGAGTTTTCGTTTTACGTCGCTTTTTTGCAATATTCCAGCAATATCAAAAGCGGGGAATACCAGAAAAGGGTTTCATCCTTTGTACCCATGTGTGAATCTAACCTGGGTCTTCGGCGTGAAGAGTGAATGCTTTAACCACTAGGCTACCTTACCCCCCCAATACTTACAGGACAAAGGGGCTCGTTGAATTATATTTTTATTAGCCCGAGTTAATTTCTACTTTACTTCAGTCTAAAGGTAAACATTAAACTACATCCCTGAAGTCAGCCTTTGTCTCTAGTTGACTGTGAAGCAGTTGTTTCTATATCACAACCATTTCTATCCTTGGTTACCATGGTTACCAGCAAAAGGAAACCATGGGCAAAAACAATACTACTACTCACAATCGTCTCCTACTGGTCCCGCTGAGCACTGGGCTGGAGGGTCACGACCCAGATCATGTAGTTCCTGTACATAAAGCAGAAATACTGTAACAGCTGGAAATACTGGGACTGGTCAATCTTCAATTACAGTAACTGTTTACATGGTGAATCTAAACCATTCACAATACCAGCAGTATGATTAAGATGTGTATATGTCAGATGATCAACAACCTATGCATGTAACTTTGGTGTCACAGAATCTCCTCTGAGGGAGTTTGCTATTTGAATCAGATCTTGACCAACCATTGAACCTGATTGAGATGCATCCATCATAGGGTCGCAAATGATCAAATTTAACAAGTAATAAATTACATGAGAAGAAATTATGGAAATTAAAATCCAACATATAATTCACTTTATGGATATTTAAAATATCAGTTTACAAAGTTATTTTAAGATTGTGTACAGATTTGTATGATTTTATGTTTTTCATTCACAATCTAAATCCTAAATGGACAGCATAACTATGCAGTTTGTGTTGCACCAAGTTTATAAGTTATCATGTTTTAATATTTTAATGAATTAGGTTAGTCTTTAGTCTTAGTCTCAATTTCAAATTCAGTTTAGAGTTTATTTACAACAGTTGACATTCATATTTACTGAGTTTTGAATTAGTTTGAATTATGTGTATTTTTGTTTTGTTTTAAATATTTTGTGTCCTGGTCGTAGTCTGTAAATTCTCCAAGTAAAGTATCGTGTCCAAGTCGGAATCATCCCAGTGAATGAATTTAGTCGTCCATGGCAATGCCAAATGTTCGTTGAAACAAATATTCCGTGCTTATGGCGACACGCATTTCGCAAATGATACACATGTTCTGCAATGTTGTGAGTTTACATGTGCAAACGAGAGATAAGGTAAAAATTAAGATTATTGTAATCAGTTTATTGGAGCTGTCCATGTAATGTTTGACTGTCAATCACAGCCGGTGAAATCCCACTGAGGGAATTAACTCTCGGTCCGGCTATTACGCAATATTGCTTACGTGGTTACCAGAGTGCTCATTTGCGAATGTCTGTGCATCTGTTGAGCATGTGTACCGGCAGCAGGAAGTTAGCAGCAGGGTGTCGATGTGTATCGGCTACATGCCAGACCGTAGGGCTGATGGTTAGTGATAAACTGTTCGGGAGGGCCATCCCTCTATTATATGGTCTCTGATTGGATAATATAGTTGCACGTTGCAGGTGGGAATAATAGAAGACGCTATCCAATCAGAGACTCGCTCTACTTTTCGGTGCGGGTCTGTAGCCTTAGATTTGTTTACTTCCGGGCATATGTCCTGACTTCGTGCTAGAATGGACGGCAAAATTATTGAATGCTTTAAATATGAATAAAATCACCAGGTTAGCGATATGCAAGGTACTTTACAGAGGTCAACAGAGTATAAATTGTGCAGTTTATTCAGCAGTCAAAGCGATGGAAGCGTTTGTCAGACCGAAACCGAGCCGCCATTTTGTTTCAATTTACTGACACACCTTTCTTATATCTTATATATATATATAGGTTATACTTATAAATATATCAGAGTCGGGCGCCTATGAAGCAGACAGATATAGAATTACTTGCTCATCACAAGATGTGGTCCGAACTGAGAGAATGTATACCTTCGGATCATATGTTTACGAACAGTAGTGTTTACTTGAACAAGTCATGTTGCATCACAAAGACATTAAAAACACTCAGATGATGACTTGTGTTCAAAATAAAGTTATCAGAGAAATATCTTTACTAACTTAGGGACATGTTACAAAAAATCGTTCGTGCGATTATCTAAAAAACATGTCTGAAAACTCTTAACAATGAGCCTTCAGTGGTATATATAAATGACAAATGAAAATTAGCTAAAATCATGAAATGGTTAGAATGCACTTTACCGGGCGCAGCCCTCGCTGCTCCCTTTACGATCCTTAGGGTTAGGGTTAGGCACCCTTTACAATCCTTAGGGTTAGGCAGCCTTTACTATCCTTGGGGTTAGGCAGCCTTTACGATCCTTGGGGTTAGGCAGCCTTTACTATCCTTGGGGTTAGGCACCCTTTACGATCCTTAGGGTTAGGGTTAGGCACCCTTTACGATCCTTAGGGTTAGGCAGCCTTTACTATCCTTGGGGTTAGGCATCCTTTACGATCCTCAGGGTTAGGGAACCCCAGCAGGGCTAATTAGTCTGAAAAAGTGCGCCCGGTAAAGTGCAGTACTCCCCATGAAATTGTCGTTATGACGTTTCTCTTTGTGCAGGTATGTGTATGTGTGAATGTGTGTGAGAGACAATGAATGAGCATGTGCATGTCATAGCAGGATTGAAACTTACATCGCTAAGAAGTACAAACACAATAGCATCCCAACACACGTGTCCCCAGCGTAGTATCCCCTTTATAACATGTACAATGGCAGTGGGGAATATTCTGGTACGAAGATATGATTATCTTACTCCTCCCACGGTAATAAATAACCGTTTTCTGTCTTTTCGGGCTACCCGTAGTTTGTGAAATTGAAACTGTCAGCCGGTGGTGGCGGCGATTTCAGGGGGAGAAATAAAGACCGGCTTTATTTGTTTATTTTCAGAAATGATTGTACATAGAATGACAAATTCACGAATTCAAACCTTGGTCAACCAATGAATAGATTCATCGTGACTACCCCTCCTAAATGACGACAAATTCCAATAACTGAGCAAGTGTTCACAGTACCTTAGTAAGCTAATGTCCCTAAACAGGATATAATGGAATTTGCTTCCTAGTTCGTTTATGTGGCTTTTTACACATAAAATTCAACACACGTGACGTACATTCATTTAAGACGATGAAATCTCACCTTATTTATTCTTTTCAAAGCCATGATTATGATAAAATTTCAACGAAATGTAAGTGTGTTTCTTTCCACAATCCAATATGGTGTCTGCGCATGCGTAGATAGCATGAGTGGTTACCTCCCTTGTAGTTGACAATTGAGTCACGATAACGTCACGGTCTATTGACATTAGATCTATTGCGTAGTGAGTATCTATTCAAGATTCTATTTTTGAGTCATAGATCTACACATAATATATAGGAGTGACTCCAAATGACGTAAGCCTTTGTAATACACATCTGCAAAATATACAGTCTAATTTTAAAAATATTATTAATTATTAACAATTAATATTAATGTACGTGGTGCGTGTGTCACCAGCTATTCCGGAATTACATCATACCATTGTTAACTATCCGCTCGTCACGCCGAAGACCCGGGTTCGATTCCCCACATGGGTACAATATGGGAAGCCCATTTCTCGTGTCCCACGCCGTGATATTGCTGGAATAGTGCTAAAAGCTGCGTGAAACTAAACTCACTCAGGCACTGTTTACTATAGCCACAAGAATAATCACAAATGTTAATTGCGCAATAAAAGCAATACCCTTAAATAGGGTAAGTGAGTGAGTATGGTTTTGCGTCGCCTTTAACAATATTCAAGCAATATCACGACGGGGAACCAGAAATCAGTTTCTCATATTGTATCCATGTGCGGACTCGAACCCGAAGAACTAGCGATCCCTGTCGTTGATCAAGTAGGGTGATCGCTTACAAAAAGTCTTATGTAAGATGGTCGCACAATACGTATCTATCATCGGGTTAATCCCCAAACACAGGATCATTGCTTGTTATTGTTCGCCCCCAGCAGGCAAAGCCACGGGCTCCGGAGTTTAGTTTCGTCACCCTAACGAGGAACAATTTCAACAAGGAAGTGATGGAACACCACGCGGGGGCGTTACGGATTACGATTGGATGTTATCTTAAATCCTGGTTTCTCGATTCATTCGATCATCAGCATAATTGTGAAAGCTTACAATTTTTGGAAAATAATTGTTGTTGTTATTCTGTGCCTTCGTTTTATCTTGCTCTGAAGTGAATGGACTGTCAAAACATTCATTCATATGAACTTCGAGATACTAAAAGTCAGTCCAAAGCTTTGCTGGATTAAAGTCCCGTTTGAAGTTACACAAATATGTGTAGCTAAACATGGAATGGGTAAAACATTTCAACCTCTGAACATATTTTTTTTCTGGATTTCATCTTCTTTTTATTCTTTGATACAACGTTTCATCATCAGGGGGAACAGGCCCCGAAACGTTGTATCAAAGACTAAAAAGAATATGAAACCCAGAAATTGTTTTATGTTCATCAAATAGCATTGTCTAAAATGCCAATCAAGCATCTATTTCAACCACTGTTAGTAACTATATGGAGATACCATTTGTAATTTCCTGTCTCCTCTTCCCCTTGAAAGGGCATGTAACCCCACTTCAATCACAGAATGTTATATCTAGCATCGTTCTTAATCGTAGAATATTTGTAGTTTTTAGATAAATGTCTAACATGACCCACAATCGCTAGCTGCTGAGAATGGTTTTACGCCGTTTTTAGCAATATCCCAGCAATATCACGGCGGGGGACACCACAAATGGGCTTCACAAGTTGTACCCATGTGAGGAATCGAACCCGGGCCTTCGGCGTGACGAGCGAACGCTTTAACCACTAGCTAGGCTGCCCCACCGCCCCTACAATCGCTAGCAGCTGAAGGGATGGTTTAAATCCAGCTAGGGAACCGTGCAGGAAGCAGAAGTATTTTAAGTCCCCACGGTCCCTAGTATAGTGGCCTAACTTCCGTTGCTAGCGATCTCTTGCCCACTTTTATATTGTATTCTTCTCTTTAATAACATCGTTTTATCATTACATGCTAGTTTTACCTTATCTGTGACACTCAAGTAGTTTTACTGTTCGTTATCAACATGGTTTTAATTTCTAATTTTATTGATCTTTAGTATGATAAATGATTATTTTCGTCACGATATAGCGATAATATTGCCGATGTGACAATAAATATTACCTCCCTCACACCTGTCTCCTCGAGTGACCAAGCAAAGTCTGTAATCGTATCTTGACACTCGTCACGCCGAAGACCCGGGTTCTATTCCCCAGATGCATGGTTACAATGTGTGAATCCCATTTCTGGTGTCCCCCGCCGTGATATTGCTGGAATATTGCTAAAAGCGGCATAAAACCATACTCACTCACTCGTATCTTCACTGAACCTGCGGCCATTAGATGAGAAAATATGAAGATAATAGTTGTATTTGTGTTGTTTATTTTCTCACTTATCTTCACAATATTACTCTGAAAACAATCTATGCAGTGCGCAGTGACATTGAGCAAGGCTGAGCATAGAGTTCCAACATGGGTATGATGTAACTCGCGTGATATATCCTTTATGTATTTTCAGTTGAATTCAGCCCGTCCGTCAGTTCATGCTTCTCAAATGTCACTGTCAAGAAGATGAAGAGTCCCGAGTCGATGACAGTTACTTCTCCGAGTACAAGATTCTTCAAAATGTTCATTTTCATTGTCATTTCTACACAGAGCACCCATACACATGGCCTGGGCCGATACACCCATTACTCTGATACACACTTATTTCATCCTCCATGCATGCGTCTCCATGTTTGATTTGTTTAACACAGCACCATTGATCCAGGACCACATAGTCAGTGAGTAATATTGTGAGAAACGTCAGATATGTAAACCCCCCACCCACCCCACCACCACCACCACTCTCTCTCTCTCTGTGTCTATCTTTGTAATAGGCCTACACATCTGCAAAATATACTGTCTAATTTTAAAAATATTATTAATTATTAACAATTATTATTAATGTACGTGGTGCCTGTCACCAGCTATTCCGGAATTACATCATACCATTGTTAACTATCCGCTCGTCACGGTGAAAACCCGGGTTCGATTCCCCACATGGGTACAATGTGTGAAGCCCATTTCTCGTGTCCCCCGCCGTGATATTGCTGGAATATTGCTAAAAGCTGCGTAAAACTACATCTGTAACTCAAAGTGTATATAAGAATTATAAGAACCATGATGCAGTTATTGAATCAGCCTATATATTCTATTTATTCTATATAATACATAACCTTTATTCTATGATTCTATATATAATACAAAGCCATACATATATGACGTCATGTCATTGTCATTGTCAGGGCAATATCAGTGAGTCACGTCTAGTTTCGCTTTCGATTCTGCGACGGGATTTCTGCTTCACAAATGTATAGGATCTTATTCACCCACAGTGTACTCAGTTTATTGATTACGGCTTACCATACGGGGATTGCCACGTGAATATTGCACAGAGAACCCAACCTGTGGCTGACGTTGGTATATAGTATATAGATTGGCTCAAAATGCTGTTTCTGATTAAAAGCCACTCAGAAATATTTGAAATATCAGAAATATTCACTCGGAATAATTGATTCTCGATCAGTCATTCCAGTGACTGATATCATGAGCATCGATCAACGCAATGTGGATGAACATGGGTTACCAGTTGTTGTCCCCCGTTCCCCTACAGCCCACTTGCTACAAGGCCCCAGTTCATGGATGAATACAACAGACTCCCATGAACCCGGGTTGTGAAAGCCTTCCTACATTGACCATTCCGCCTTGAGGAGCTCTCAGACCATACTTCCCGTTGGTGCATCATCCTTGGGCGTTGTGCGCAGGTACTGGAGCTTCCTGAACATAATCTCCGCGCACTGGAAACAGCTGTCAGGAGTTGCTGCCGTTGAACGCTGCCCTAGGTACTACATCCAGTTATATGATGGCAGTCTTTAAACAATCGAGTTGGACCAGACAATCCAGTGATCAACAGCATGAGCATCGATCTAAGAGCTGAGATACGATGACATGCATCAACCACATCAGCCAGCCTGACCACCCGATCCCGTTAGTCGCATCCTGACGACAAGCATTGGTCAAAGGTCAATTCTAACCCGACCTGTTATCGGACGCAGCTCAGTACCGAAAAGTGATAGGGTTTGGGCATTCGTCACCACTCGCCCCTTTCCGTAACCTCCAAGTATTCGGCTTGTCCCGGAATAACACGAGTGGGTCACGAATGGGGCACGAGTCGGTATTCGGCTTGTCCCGGAATAACACGAGTGGGTCACGAATGAGGGTTTGGGATGAACAGATCACCGGTGGCTGTACTACAAGATAATGATTAAAATCTTGTCTCATCTGACAGATTGTTGTTCTCACAGATAACATACGTTTTCCTGCTCGCGGTTTCAGATTTCTCATTCGAGCTCTTGTTTTACCTTCACCGAAACGTATCTCGGTTCTTTTGTGTGTGCAGATGTATAGAAACTCCTTGTAGTGAGACAAACGAGGACTGGCCTGCCGTATTGTACATCATTAGGTCCCGTGGGGTGTCGTCGTAGCATGTCAAGCACCTGTCGGTCAGCATGGCTATATTCCACAATTTACAGCCGTAGTATTTGAGAGTGCGACAATAAAAACAAACAAACAAACATTTTCATAAACAAGCCGCAATATGACAGAAACTTCCAGCGTGTCTGTTCCAAGGTCATATCTATGGTTGTTTCTGTTAGGTGAGACCCGTGAAGATCCGGGGTAGAATAGGTCTTCAGCAACCCATGTGCTTGCCATAAAAGGCGACTATGCTTGTCGTAAGAGGCGACTAACGGGATCGGGTGGTCAGTTTCGCTGACTTGGTTGACACATGTCATCGGTTCCCAATTGCGCAGACACTCTCATAACTCGACCCAAGACAACATTATCAACTGCTTTCTCATTCCAGTATTAGTGTTTGTGATGAAACCCGTGAAGATCCGGATTACAACTGTTCTTCGGGAACCCATGCTTGTAAGAGGCGACTAACGGGATCAGGAGGTTAAGCGCACTCACGTGGTTGACACACGTCATTGTATCCCAATTGCGTATATCGATGCTCATGCTGTTGATCACTTGATTGTCTGGTCCAGACTCGATTATTTACAGACCGCCGCCATATAGCTGGGATATTGCTGAGTGCGGCGTAAAACTAAACTCACTCTGTTAAGTGATGCAGTATCCCAGCTATATGACAACGT